TCCTCCTCAACTATTAAGATCTATTAAGATCTATTATATAAGTACATAGCTGCAAATGACTGCGTTTCAAATACCCGATTCCAGAAGTGAGTTGAAGGAGGTATGTTCCAAGAAGGTCCTTGTTGCGTTAACCACACTGTCACCACACTGTCACCTCGCCGCATCGGTCCGACATCGGTCGCACCTGTGGGGTCGAACTTGATCATCTGGCGGTCCAGGACCTGTGGGGCTGAGACCCGGCTGTGAACTCAGCAAGGAGTGTCCCAGCCGGACATCTCCAATTCAGTCTGTCAGAACAGCCAAGGAGATGTCCAAAGCTCTAGGACTCTAGGATAGATATTCTCCAGTCAATCTTTGACATCTCCCTGTCCCTTTGCATTCGCACCATGGAGGTTCTTTTAGGCAAACGCGCATCTTTTCGTCGGGGCTATACCAGGAATGACTCTGGAGGGTGGGAGGTACAAGGAGACGCGGGAGAACCATGGGGAATTCTGAAGTATCGAAGTCTTGCAGGATCGGATAGGGATTGAGCCCAACTTCCGTTCTCTTTCCTTGCCACATTGTTGCCGGCCTCCACACTGTTCGGCAGACTTCTGAGTGTGAAGATTTTCCGCAGCCTGAAGTCCAAACAGCGCTCAGAGGCTTTGGACTGGCTAAGATTTGGATATCAATCACAACAGGCACTGAATTCCTCTGCTGGGCCTGCACTCGGGATGAATCACTATGCCATCCACGGATTTCACGACCTGGGCTTCTACGGATTCGCGGGCACCGCGGGCACTCGAAATACCAAGCCAACCTGTGACACACATTGATCACGTTTGGCCCACCTGCCCAAAGGCTCCGTCGACCAAGGACTGCAAATCCACACAAAGGTTAAACCTCAGTGCCAAAAGAGACCCAACAGGGGCCCTTTCCTTTTTGTTGGTACATTCACACAGCCAAGATCCTGGATTGAAGCACATACAAGCTTGCCGATATTCAATATACCTAGGAGCCTTAGGAGACTAGCTATCAATGTCATGTCTGTACGCAAATCAAGGGGACCGTGCAGCCTGCTGTCCTGTTGCATCATACTTAGGTTCACATGTCCAACCAAGTAAGGCAGGCCCTGTAAGTCAGTGGCCAAGTCCCTCGAGGGAGACCAAGAAGAGGAAGTCGTGCAAAACGCATCGTGGTGTGTGCCTTTCAGGGTGTGTGTGTGTGTGTGTGCCGGTCCGCGTGTCTGACACCAATATATATAGTTCATTGCAACACTGACATGTCAAGGCCCCTGTCCGTAACTCTGACCGTGCATCAACGAGGTACTGAGAGAAATTCGAAGACAAAACCGCAGCCGGCGCCTCCTCTGTCGAAGCACCAAGAAGCAACCAACGTCGCCTGAGTTCTTGACCACCCGAATTTGACTCACTATACGTCACTCTCTCGTCACTTCGCCACAAATGCTTTTGGTATCTCTGGTTGACTACCATGCAGTACCATTGACTATCCGGGGATATTTGGTTCCCCACGTTGCCTTTTGCAACAAAGGCCCCGTTTCAAGCGTCCGATCTCCTCCGCGTGATGATCTCAGGCGGTCCACGATCACAGCTCGGAGGTTCGCCCCGGATCCGAAGCCCAAGGAAGGAGCGCCAAGAAATGACCACCGAAAAGGACCTGAAAGAGACCTTTTGCTGAGGGCCCGCGGGCGTGACATTGGTTGAAATTTGGTCCAATTTGCCCAGTTGTTTTAGCTGACAAAGAACATGGACATGATAACCGGTGAAAGCTGATGAGCACCTTTTGAGACACCCCGTAGTATGAGCTGTAAGTCCCTGGAAGCAAACACTGAGGGTTCATCAGTTGAAGCCGAGCGACGCAGAGGTGGTGTCTGTAATGGCCACTTCAAGCAAGCAAGCCCGGTAGTTCTGACATGGCGGGATGATTCGGATGACTGCTAAAAAACAATGAAAGAGCTCGTGGTTGTGATACAGAAAGTTGCATGACCGTGATTATGTTATGCGCATGATTGCCGAACGCATGCCAGCACAAGAGAAAATCATTATGTCTTTCGTGTTCCCAGTGCTTTTAATGTGTTTTTAATGTGCTTTTGGTTTTGCAATGTTTTGCACCAGTTTTCTACCCTCAGTCTTGATACAGTGCCATCTCCTTTATACAGTGCTTAAGACGAGCGCCTGAGGGAGGAAGAGCTGGAAGACCAAGTACGGTTGGACCTGGTTTGGTCGGTGCCACTGAAATGACAAGTTTGCTGCAACTCTGGGCCATGATGGGCCTGTGGCCATAGACAGCCACCCAGCTCAACCCACTATCCAAAAATCTCGTTAGCAATAATCATGTGTGGCTGCAGGTCGCCATATTATCCAAATGTACTACCCAAGCATCAGCCATAAAACCGAGATCAGCCACCTGACACATGGTGATTAGCTGGGCTTAGAGTTGTTCATTCCTTTAGATGCTGCTGGCCAAGATCAGAATCAAGGCATATTAGAATGGCATCCCTGTCTAATGCTATGCATGCTTATTCTTGGGTCCAATGATGTTCAACGTCTCACTCAACCTGAGGCCATCACAATGCCCAAGTCTTTGCCATCTCGCGGCAGCTGCATCACAGCCTGTTTGGTTTTCGTGTGATTGAGGCGTTTCCTGGGTTGCCTCTTCATCGCACAGGACACCCGAAAAAAGAAGCAGCTTCATGTCACAACTGTATCGCCATCGCCATGTGCATGATTTCACAAAAATCCATGTGGGCCGGCTGACCTGGCTGCCATTTGCAGGCAACTGATAAACATAGCTCTTCAGAGCCTCAGAGTTCTGAAGCTCAGAGACTCGCAACTCAGGTCGCTGAACAAATGAGCGGAACAGGACAAAAGGAAAGACCAACGGCCAAAACGGCCTATATGCCCTGACGGCCTATCTATCAAACAGCCTAGCTTGATTCACAGATTGGCATCAGAAAAGGAATCTGGCAAATGTCCTGTGCTCCACACTTTGTCATAAATCCTCTCAACACCTGGATGTACCTGACCAGTAGGGGCCGCCTAAATTGGTGTGATCAGGAATCCTCTATGCTCATGTTGAGAAGCATCCTTGAAGGCATGCATACCTCACTTTCAAAGTCATGATCATACAGTCCTCAGGGGCAGGGCGAATCTATCAACGGTATATTTGTGCTTTCTCAGAACTTCCAGGGTTCATCACCTGCGAAGTCTCCATTCCTCCTCCAGCAAAGAGGCGTTGCACTTCATGATCATAGTTCTTCAAGAGCTATAGCGGCTATGGATCGACAACCCTAATCAACCCCAGTTCACACCCCAAAACAGTAGCTGAATCACTGGAAGAATTCTTCACATATCCACTTCACTCTCCTCTTGGAGGCTTTTGGAGGGCCGGAGCTCCACCGCGTCCATTCCCGTGCCGCCTTCCATGGAAGTGTGGCTCCGCCTTCCAGGAGCTCCACGGAGTTCGTGACCTCGGTCGGTTTCGCGCGGAGACCCGTGACTCCCGCGACCGGAGCCTACAAGATGGTGAGAGGAGAAAGGGAGGGAGGGACGTGGGTTATTAGGGACTTGGAAATGCTTGGGAATTTGACTTAACCACCCAAAAACACAGCGGCGGAGGGCGGCGGAGTTGACGATGAGCTTTTTGCCGGCGAGTGAACAGCAGGTCTTCTGCGACGTCAGGAAGGACATGTAAAAAGCACTCTGAGGCTGTGACTTCTGAGTCGCTCATGAGCACAGCCAAGGGGCGGAGCAGCAAAGTTGTTCTGACTGATTTACACTTCCTGATGTACTATGCAAACCCTGAGTTACGCCATCTGCAGCTTCAATTGAATAATTATGCATGAGGTGCAGTGTTTCCCGCTATCATACTTGTTCATCACATGTGAGAATGACAAGTAATGTCCCTATGCCTATGCACCAAAGACCTTGGAACATGTCTTTAAACCCAACATAAGGCAGTTCCCAGAAGAGAGCAACATTGTTTCCACCAATAAAACACTTCGATGGATTGAACAAATGTCCCATCCACCACCATCCAAACCACGCAGCCCCTCCTCCAGCTCGGGCCGGAACCCCTTGAGGCAAGCGGGCGATTTATCCAACATGTGGCTCAGCCCCGCAGGCTGGGCTGAGAAACGCCCAAAATCCATCGACGGCTCTTCATCAACTGCCATGAGGTTTGGATAGTTCGGTTTCACGGTGTTTGGTACACTGTACGGATCCGCGGCTCATGTGTTGTTGACACAAAAGCAACCCCCGGTGATTAGCCCAAGTAAGGGGGGTCGGATGCAAATACTGGTAGCTTGAATGGCCTCCAGCCTAATAGCGATGGCCTCCACCTAGTAGCTTCTTGTTACTAAGCTGCAACAATCGTTGCCCAAATCCATCGACAAATGCTTCGTTCCGGCGGTGGCTACACAAGCCATAGCTTCGTAGTGGTCTGTAGGGCAACGTGCAAAAGGTGAAAGGGATGCGTTATGATGCGTTTCTCTAAGTCAAGAGTGGCGTCCTGCAAACTACCTTGCGGTTTCCCAAGAAGCCCCCTGACCGAAAGAGCTTCGTACAAACACTGGCTTTGTACGTGCGCTGCCATGATGTGCCATGCAAACGCGTCGCCACACGGCCAACATGCAACCAACAGTTGCGACCAAAGCAGCTGGACCAAAGCACCTCTGCCGAGCATCATCAAACAAATGTATGAAACCAAAAGGATGGTGGGTGCAGGATCAGAAACCAGAATGAACCAACAGCCAGCTCCGTGGCGGTGATTCTCCCACGCTTCATGGGAGAAGATGTGAGACAGCTGTGAAACAGAGAGCCCGTCGCAGGGGCTCTGAGTGCTCCAATTTCTGTCCAGTTGTTTTTACTTGGGAGTGGGGACCAGACCAGCGGACCAGCTGGCAGTTCTTCTGTTCCAGTTGGAGAAGGGGATCGAAACAAAAACCAAACAAACGCTGCCTGGTTCTTCAAAAAAACAGGTCGGACAAAAAAGCAGCCTCCTCAGAAGTCTTGAGTAGTGCTCACATTGGCACTCGGCCTCAGGTACCGTAAGAACCGCGGCATCAGGAACACGTGAACATTCCGGTACCGCGAGTCATGATAAGCTAAGACATGAGACAGCTAAGACATGATGAACTCTCTCTTTTTCTCTTAAAAAGCTGAGGCTGGTCCTCAGCTCCTTGGTATTGCCCTGTGAGCCTGCAAGAGTTTCAGAGTTCCCAAAGAAGCCATAGAAAGATTCCAACACCTACCAATTTACGCTGAATGGCCATACTGACATATTTATATATATATATTGTCTATATATTGCCATATTATACTTTTATATACTATTATGCCATCCTCAAAGTAGCGCCAATTGCCCATTCGTATTGGTTAAGCATGCATGTGATGTGCAAATTGATCTACACATCTTCGCATTATCCCCCCATTTCGCTTCATTTCGCTGGATCGCCAATCGAGACTCCATACTCCATCCACGAGGTCCGCTCGGCGGCCCGTTTCGTCACACGGCGGCTGCCCGTTCCCCCGCCGGAGTTTTGAGAAGTTCGATCACCGCCCTTGGGCATCTCAGCCTGAAGGTTAGCGAGCGACGCGAAGGCAAGAGATGGTGTCGGGTTGATGTTCGGTCGCATCGAACGAACTAGTTGGTAACAGAACATGGTCTAGTCTAGTCGAGTAGGTGGCTCGGGGTGCCAGATTCCACTAAGTACAGAAATCCTATAGTAATCTAGTATCAGCCTGGTAGACGGAACTTGGATGACATTGAACCCATAACTTTGTAAGCCAATCAGAAAGCTCTGAAAAGCTTGGTATATCTTATTATAGTATGTGTTAAGAATACATCCACCAGATCGTCAATGATCGTCACCTGCACAACTGGCCTCGAAGCGGATGTTCGGCTCTTGTGCTGTCACAGCTTCCAGGGCTCCCGCCTGCAGCAACTACATGCAACTGCAGGGCTTCCAAGTTTTCTCAAGCTGACCCATCAAGTCTCCAGGATTTCATGAAACCTGTTCCGGTCCTTTCATTTGTCTCCCAGGCTCGGTGCTTGTGGTCGGGTTCCCGGCCGGCTTGTCTCCCACTTCCTTTCATTTGTCTCCCACTTCTTTTCATTTGTCTCCCAGGCTGGGTGAGTGAGTGAGTGAGTGAGTGAGCGAGGGAGCGAGGGAGCGAGGTCCTTTTATTTGTCTCCTTGTCTCCCATTTCCTTTTAATTGTCTCCCAGTTCTTTTCATTTGTCTCCCACACTGGATGCTTGTAGTCGGGTTTCCGGCCGGCTTGTCTCCCACTTCCTTGCATTTGTCTCCCACTTTTTCCCCAAACAGTTTACTTTTAGGGGTTCTCAATTCTTTCTTAAGATGTGTCCGCCCTTTGTGTCGCTGCTGGTGTCCGCCCATTTCCACTGGCCGCTGGTCGTGTAGCATTTCTAGTCATTTGTCTCCCTGGTCTGTCACTGCTGGTGTCCGCCCTTCTTCACTGAACTGGCGATGCGACATCTATATTCATTTGTCTCACAGGTCTGTCACTGCTGGTGTAGTCATTTGTCTCCCAGCTCTGTCATTGCTGGTGTCCGCCATTTTCCGCTGGCCACGTAACAGTTCTATTGTTCTATTCATTTGTTTCCCAATTCTGTCACGCTGGTGTCCACCCTTTTCCGCTGGCCCCGTAGCATTTCTATTCGTTTGTCTCCCAGGTTTGTCACTGCTGGCGTCCGCCCTTTTCCGCTGGCCATGTAGCATTTCTATTCACGAAAGCTAGCGCGCTAGCTGAGTTCTTCTTTGCTTTAGCAATTGGTAGTGGGATGAGCTGTGGCCCCCCCCCCTTAGTGTGATATATCACGCTAACCCCCCCCCCCCTCCCGCTCCTGCTGCTGTTGCTGACGACACCGCTGCTGCTGCTGCTGCTTGCTGCTTGCTGCTTGCTGCTTGCTGCTGGTGGTGCTCCTGCTGCTGCTGCAGCTTGGTGCTGCGCTCCTCCTGCGTGGTGCTGCTGGCTGGCTGCTGGTTGGTGGTTGCTGCTGGCTGCTGGCGGTTGCTGCTGCTGCTGCTGCAGCTGCTGCTGGCTGCTGCTTGCTGCATAGGACTTGTACTTCACTGTTACAAGTTCTTTACCCCTATTTCTAACCTAATTTATGCATAAGCGGGGGGTAAATTTACCCCCCAGAGTTGCCATAACCATAAGCCGGCTATTTCCTCAAGACACTCTACTCCTTATACCTTTTACCAGTGCTTATCCTACACTGCGGACGCCCTAGTGTATGCACAGTCCTTGTGATGCCAGAAATATCCAGAAATGCTTACCCCTCTTTCCGGCACAAGGCATACATAAGCGGGGGGTAAATTTAACCCCCAGAATTGCAATAACCATAAGCCGGCTATTTCCTCAAGACACTCTATATTCCATATACCTTTTATACCCGTGCTTCTCCTACACTACGGACGCCCTAGTGTATGTACAGTCCGTGTGATGTCAGAAATGCTTACCCCTTTTTTCGACTCAAGGCATACAAAAGCGGGGGGTAAATCTACCCCCCAGATTTGCCGATCACGCATCTTCGTGCCTGCCAGCGAGTGCGCCCGTGTTGTTCCAATGTACCCTTCCCAGTCGGCGATGTCACATTTACATTCTTCAGGGCAAAGTATGTACGTAGCAACCTTTCTCCCAAAACATGTAATCACTACATGCTTTGCCGACTATGTAACTAGTACATCCGGTGCGATTCGGCTAGCTTTCGACCTCCTCCCCTGGCCTCAAGTCATTTGTCTCTCAGGTCTGTCATTGGTGGTGTCCGCCCTTTTCCGTTGGCCATGCAACATTTCTATTCATTTGTCTCCCAGGTCTGTCACTGCCAGTCCGGCATTTCTATTCTTTCGTCTCCCAGGTCTGTCACTGGTGTGTCCTTGTCTATTGGCCATGAAGCATTTCTATTCATTTGTCTCCCAGGTCCGTTACTGCTGGTGTCCGCCCTTTTCTGTTGGCCATGTAGATTTCCTATTCATTTGTTTCCCAGGTCTGTCACTGCTGGTGTCAGCCCTTTCCGCTGGCGACGCAACAGTTCTATTCATTTGTTTTCCAGGTCTGTCACTGCTGGTGTCCGCCCTTTTCCGCTGGCCATGCAGCATTTCGATTCATTTGTTTCCCGGGTCTGTGACTGCCCGCTGGAACAGGTTCACCTGTGAAAGGTTCTTGCTCCTTTGAAAGGGGTGCGTGATTGTCTCCGGGATTGCACTCCTGCCGCACTGTGTAACTCTCTCAGCTTTGTTTTCCTTTTCGGGCAAGCGTTGGATGAATGACCGGATTGGATTTCGGCGGGGTGGCAGCGATCTCTCTGTTCAGTTGGGACGGAGGGCATGCGTCAGGCACCAAAAACCAATTTCGTGTCACATCCTTCGCTCCTCATGCTTTTATTTCTTGTCCTCACGTGGTCAGCTCCCCGCTGATTGAGCAGCATGACCAGCATCATGTTCGCACTTGAAGAATAAATCCCCAAAAGGGTTGCTGTTGGGGCCTGTCAATTCTTTCTTAAGATGTGTCCACCCGCTCTGTACGCAATCCTTTGTCTTCCAGCTCTGGACGTCGCAAGCTCTAGTTTCGATTTGAAAAGCACAAACTGTTTGGGGTCTACGGTGGTGTAATTTTCTGCTCTTGCACAGACTCGTTTGGTGCCGCAAGCGTGGACCGATCGAGAAGCGAAGTGGGTTTTGGCAGGGCAGGTCGCCTGCTTTCCCCGAGTTGGATCTGCTCTTCTCTCTTTGCGCAGGATCTCGCAAATCTCCTTGAAGTCCTGAGGGAAACAGGCAGTAAAACAGCTTGCAGTCCTCCACATGTCCATTTTAGAGTCCTGTGCCTGTGCCCGTGATGTTGGATCATGTCTGTACCTATATAACAAGATCATCAAAACCATTCTTGGTCCAATCCAATTTGGGGAAGTCCTCCACAGTTCCAACCTTCCCACGGTCCTTGAGGTAAGCAAGGATGACCTTCAGCTGTCTGATGGCATTCTCCTGGAGCCAACTCTGTGTCTTCAGGTCAAAATGCCACGTCCTCTCTTTTTGGAACGCCAGTTTGTCACGGTCTCCTTCTTCTTCCTGAAGGAGTCTTTGCTTTCATCTTGGCCTTCTTCGCCTGACTGGTGGAGAACTGGTGCTGGGCCTTCTTCGGTACGCAACGCGGGCAACCATTCACCACAAGATGTGTTTTTGATTGTTTGGGCACGGAAATTGGCACAAATACTGAGATATACTAAGCGGCATAGCGTGGTCGATGGAAACGGCAGGCCGTTGGCAAACAAAGTACTCAAACTGTCCGTGCCTTCTTGCTTGCCCTCATCATCAACGGGTGTCTGGGCATGCTGAATGTTTTTCCTGCGGCCATGAAGACATATGCTGAAGAAAACCTTTCTATCCCACTCGTAACTGCATCATGGAAGAAAAAGAAAGGAAGAGGCAAAAGAATCAGCTGCCGGCCTCTTGGTTGTACAGCGCAAAAACAAGTTTTCGACCTCAGCAATCCACATCACTGCTGGTCACACTTCCTTCAATTGTTCCGGATGCCACTTTGACATCATGCTTGGACATTGGGAGTGTACATGCATCGATTTGGTGATAGTCCAAGAACTAGAAGCATTGCCATCGTTAGGACAATTGGTTCGGAGAAAACATTATGAACAAGCCCGACCAGTTGTCAGTCAGCACAATGCACCAAGCGTGGTGTGGAGACTGTTTGGGAGAGCCTGTTGTCCAAGTTTGGGCCTGATCACTGTGTGCATCCAAAGTGAAGTGACCAATTACGAAGGCATCGCTTTTGGAGCATCGATTGACAGCGAAAAAAGCATCTAAAAGAACTGTTGCCCTTTCCATGTTGTTCCAATATCAGTTCCTTTTTTCTGGGGTGCTGGCGGACATAAGGATCTGCCCAAATTTCAAGGAGTGCCTCACAATCGAAGGTGCCATCGAAGGTGCCATCGAAGATGCACCAGGAGAAAATGATGCGAAAGAAGGGTTGATGGAAAAAGCAGGATGCCCATCGCTGCAAAACATCTCCACCTTGCTTTGGTATCCAAGTTGATCATATGCATACCCAAACTTAAGGAGTTTTCTGTAAGTTCCATATGTTGCACAAGACTTCGGTCTTTGGACCAGAATGACCAGAACATACCACCGCTCCACGCATCTTCCCCACACCTGGAGTCTTCCTGCGTTGCTTCGTCGAAGTCATGTTGCAGCTGTTGGCGCTTCTGGGCGAGGCGCCAAAGTCTGTCACCGCGACGAAAACCGTAGTGTTCGGAGGGAATCTTTTGTGCTTTGTTATGCTTTGTTCGGAGATGATATATATATATATATATATAACATACATATATATCAAGTAAACCAAATGTCAGAGTAAAAACAACAGGCAATTCGTCATTTTTTGCTCACCCGACTGATTAGGAAGAAAATGGAAGAGTCGAGATCCATTTCTCAGATCTTTCTGACCAACTGATGGGCCCAGAAACTCCAGATCTGCTCGACCGAAGTCGCTTGGTTGACGTCGACGTTGATTGATCACAATAAGCAAGGGATGGACACCAGGTGTGATTTAGGTGTTCTATGGCGTTCCTGCACCCTGGAGGGAAGCAGGATTGGCGAATCGTGTTTGGTGCAGCGGTGTCTTGTCTAAGTTGCCAATTCCGCTGCTGGTCTTGTCCAAAAACAAAACCCTCCAGACACGATCCAACTGGAGTGTCTCCGTCACGAACTGGTCTCGACCCGATGACGCACCTTCTGGCATTCATCCAACTCGATTTGGAGTAGTGCGACCTGCAGGACAGCATGAAGGTGATGCAGGAGACCAAAGCCAAAGAACAAATTGTATGCCATGAATTGCGCTGCCCTTTGCTCCTAGTAGCTCAATGCTCCTAGTAGCGATGCCAGGAGCCCCTAGTACCGTCCTTGCTCCTAGTAGTGATGCCCTTTGCTCCTAGTAGCCATGAAGTGCCATGATACCTTATTCCGCAGCTCCATCATCTCCATTTCCTGGTCTTTCCTTGGCAAACGATCCGCGCAAGCCAACAGCGAAGAGATTCCAAGAGTATGGTTGACAGGTAGAACTTCGTCACTTCGTCTCAGAATTCGAGCGGTACAACCTTCCCAGATTGACGATGCTTTCTGAGGGAAAAACTGGGTCATTCTGCGTCGCTTAGCTGCTCGAGCGCTGCACGCTCTAAGGTCGGGTCTTGTAGGTCTGGAACTCACCTCTGAGCTCCTGGGGAACTTGGGACTGGAGCTTGGACAGGCATTGCGCTTTTCGCCGACAACCAAAACCTGGCCTAGTAACATGGGGCTCTTGCCTGTTTGGAAGGCCTATGCAATTCATCTCATGCAATGAGAATCGAGCCTTTTCAGCTTCTAGCTGCTATGACAGCTCAAGGTTGGTGCTTTTCTCGGCATGTGATTCCCCACCGTTCGGAAGCACAGGTCGACCTGTTTGACTTACTGCAGCAAAGGCCGAAGACTATTATGTCTCACTGGGCGCAGTTGGGTGAATGTTCTGAAAGAACTAGAATCGCTTCTCGTTTCTGTCAGGCTTGGAGCAGCATAGTCTTTGCTTTGCATGGCCACGATGACTTGTGAGATCTGTCGTTTCTGCATCTTTGCCAGCTCCTTCTTTGAGCACCACACAACATCCAAGTCTCCAAGTGGTTCCAAGTGGCCCTTCTCTGAGGCTATGTGTATGTAAGCTGATCTCCCAGATCCAGCTTCGAGCAGCAACTGTCAACTTCCTAGTGGCCCTCTGAGCTGCAATCCACACAGCAGTTACCGCCTCATCGCTAGCAACATCTTTTTCAGCTTCCTTAAGCAGCACACGGGCCTGTCTCAAATACTGTGTACCAAGAAAGTTCATCTCAGCAGCGGAGACACGTCCGAGTGGCCCATCTGGGCTGCAGCGGCATCGCTGCCCAGAAGCGGCTCAGCGGTTGCTGCATCCATGTCGGCTCGGACCGCGGCTCGGACGGCGGCTCGGATGCGCGTCGATCCAACTCGACTCCTTTGCCTCTTTCGTCCGGATCCCATGGCCTACATTCTTCGCCTATGCTTCATGCAGTTCATCGTTCAAGTTCTCGTCAGCGCACAAGTTCAGCTGGAGTACTGGTTTCAAAAGCATATCATCCTCCAAGACTCAAGACTATCTCCTGCTCCGAAACACCGTGTGTCTGAGGAGCATTTTGCTAAAACCTTGGGAGGCCCACATTTTCATGTTGAGCAAGGAATTGCTTCAGATCCCTAATGGTCGACCCAAAATCCATCATGAAACGGAGCTGATCCGCATCACGCTTCGCAATCGTCTCGCCAAGAAATCACTTCCGTACTTGACATACTGTCGCGCAATGCAGGTATTTGCAAGCGAAATGCTGCAGCCAAGAACATCAAAGCACAGCACAGAATAAATCCAAGATCTAACCTTCAAATGATCAGTCTCTGGGAGCCTATGCGGCTGTGACGCCAAGAAGTGACACCAAAACCGGATTCAGACTGGAAAGCCATGGCGGGTGAATTTACAACTGCAGTTTCTATATGAACTGTTAAGCATCTACCTGTCTTTCTTCAACTCACATGGCTCAAAGCTGAGTAATCAGAACTGCTCTAAGTCAGTCCTCAATCTTCGTCTCCGACTCGATCTGCATCTCAGAGAGGTCAGCATTGGCACTTTCCAAAGTATTGTGCCGGTCCACAATCTCCTGCAGGAATTGCAACTTGGAATGGGCAAAAGAAAGTTGTGGGGTAATGGTGGAAGCTGGTGGCCAGCAAAAATGTCTAGATTCTACAATGGCCCAAGACCGACCGATTTTATGGATCTCTTCCTTGTCCGTGGCCTCTTTGAGCCAGCCACAATGTGTACTACAACATGAGCATTGCTGCTCCGCTCAGCACCCAACGACCGCATATCCTGATTGGCAAATACCAATCCTGAAAAGAAATGTTGCATGCGTTCGTTGGGTGCTGTAAGATCCTTTCCATCCACGTGCATTGGGCGTCTCAAAATGACCCAGACTGTTCCAACCAAAGATGCACAACCCGGCACCACATGTTTTGACTAAAAGACTCTAAAAGTTCTGGAAACTCTAACCAATAGGCGTCCCTCCAATTTTCCAAGTAAATACCGGCAACTCTGACCTTTCCATCACCAATACACGCTCGGCCGCCTACTCTGCCTACTCCGCCTACCGGATCTCGGACCAACATGGACAAGGCACTGAGATCTCCGCATAGTCGTCGCAGGTTTCTTTCACAAGCTCCAAGAACTCCTTTCGTTGTCGCTGCGAAGAACGAAAACGAAAAACAATTCTCGTTTCACAAAGCAAGCCCGACTCGGAATCTCGCAAGAAAACCGAGAAGGCCGAGAAGCTCCTTGCTGCGACAACAAACTATATATCTGTGCTGTGATGTATTCTGAGAGGTTAGGAAGCTCCATAGCCGAAGTGGGAGAGTGCACCAGCCAAGTGTTGCGATCGCTAAGAGCAGTAGTTTAGGGCCATTGGTCCATAGGTACTTTTTGAAGGTTCTTCAGTTCAAGCCATGTAAAGTCATTCCACTTCTGAGCGCCAACACATTATTTTGGCTTTTGGTTTTCTTGTGGCGTCTGTGGCAACTGCTCTGAGTTGCACAAAGCGACCAGCCCGCCGAGGATCAATGGCTTTGCCAGTCACCCCAATCGGCACTTGCAGAACTTTGGCATGAATTGGCATGAGCAATGCAACAACGAGGAAGTTGTTTAGCTAAAAATGGTCTTCCATCTCATGTCCGGACATTTTGGCTGCCGTGAGCTGTCCATGGCATGATTGCGGGAAGCTTGTTCCACCTCAAAAACCTCTCTCTAGTTGCCTTCGAGAAGCCTGACTCTTGTAAAGCATGCTTCTCGTCTAAAGGCGCGGTTGCTTTCAGGACAGGCCGTCGCTGTTGCTGCGTTTACCTGGACCACCGTCCGTCTGGAAAGGCGTTCGTCCGAGCGTGGTGGGGTCCCTGGTCCGTCCCTCAGCACCACACCACTCTCGGATCTCGCCAACAAGGTGTCCTCCGCAGCCGCAAGCGTAAGCCAAAAGGTGTGATCATATGGGAAAGACAAAGTGGAACTAGTCTACTGCACTGTGAGTCTCTGGCTGTTCCAGAATGAAACTCTTTAAACACAAATACGGTTACAGGCTACAGGAAGTCTTAAGGAGTCCAGGGGAGGGAAAAGCTGCATTTTCGGACTGACATGACTGACAGGGGTTGCCTTTGAACAGGCCTGTGTCGCGTCTAATCGGCTTGTGAGCTCTTCCAAGTAGATAAGAATCTGCTCAAAGCCTGGCGGTGGTATTGAACGGATTGAAGGGCATTGACTTTTTGTGGGAGAGCATAGGTGGGCCTGAAGCACATGCATCCAGTGTTCAGGACTTGACCGGCGCCCAAGTTTGGCGTTGAGGCCGCAAAAACCATGTTAACAAAAATTTATGTCAGGAGAATAACTCCAGTTGCGACTGAGAGGAAGCTTCAGAATCAGTTCGATTGCAGGGTCATCCCATTGAATCCGGATCTGCGAGGTGAAGGTGCTCTATATCCACTACATGCACGGAGACCGTGGGATCTACAACACAACAAACAGATGTGTGGGTTTTAGTATTGTCATGGAAACTCCCTCTTACTTCAACACGATCTTGCTGCTAATCTGTAAGATCTGGTGGAAGAGATAGTCATGAGCCATCAAAGCAATCGAACAGCAGGACCATATTGCACTTGAGTCGTTCCCCACCCAGTTGCCAGTGAGTGAATGCAAGGTTTAGACCAGCCCTCACCGAGAAATGGTCAACACATCCTAATCCAGCACTTGCCAAAGTGTGTGACAAGGGGATGCACTCACTGGGCAAAACAACCCATTCTCCAAGTATACCTGAACAACGGCATCGCCGCGACTGGCACCATGGCCATGGCGCCTCGTCGCGTGTCCTTGGTCATCAGCAAGAGATCTACAGCTCGCGCTGCGCCTTGGAGACGCAAACAGCCACTGATGAACTCCTGGTGCGATGCTGCGCGGGACATCATGCGCTCCGCGTCGTGTCCGCGCGTGGACACGCGTGGGTTTACCCCGGCCGTCCAGGTATGGGGACGAAGGGCTCCGAAGCTGTGGATACAACAAGCAAAAAGCTGGTGGAATCCATACCCCCATCTCTGGTGGATTTCGCAAGGGAAGCCCATGTTGCTTGAAATAGGATGCAAAGCGTGGGTTGTCTTGTTTGGTCTCCAATCCATGCCATTCTTGGGATCCAAACACAAAAACCGAACCCGTCGAAGGAACCTTCGGAATCGAATCCCATCGAATGAGAGGTCCTATTCCCTAAAGTCAAGACGGATCACTGACTATAGGGTCATGCTTCCCTACTATGATTCGAGGAATGATTCCCTGCCCAATAGGACGTCCTTAATTCCCTACTATCATGCGAGATGATGACCCTTGGGTAGTCTAAAGGTCTAAAGGTCCGTCCAATGGATGAAGACAATGAGGTATTTCTCTGATTAAAGCTCAGGTCGTCGACGTACAAGTACGTGTCAACACCTAGACCCTCTCGGTGATGTCCAACTCCTGGAGACAACAAACACGATCTGGTGGTCCTCTTTGTCGATACTGCCATCTCCGCTCAGATCCAAAATCTCAAACAGCACCTCTGCTTCAGAGGAATCCACATCAATCGTCCTGCAAAGGGGGCCGCATGGCATGCGCCGGCAATGACGCTCGTCATACCGAAAAATCTATACTTAATATGCTTTAGACTTTAGACTTCATATGCCAAAGTTGGTTATTTACATACCAAAGGAGCCAAAGGATATCAAACGCTTTACAATGGTTTCAGAGTAGATGGCACAATCCCCAAGTTCAGTGGTTGTCCTATGGACCCCCATCTGTCTAAGACATACAGGAGTGCCAGAGTGCCATCTACTCTGAAACCATTGACTTTAGACTTTGAGTCTTCGCCTTTGACAGGTGAGTTCCACATCCGGAGACGGTGTCGGATGGAGCCGGCTTCGACTCCGGGAACGAGGAGCGGGGAACGAGGAGGTTCGGGCCTGAAGAAGTGTTGCACGGGTTTGGACTCCAAGTGACGGCGAATCTCATCAATCGTAATCGCCTGGAGGCGAGTCGCGCGTCGCGAAATCGAAGGCAGAAAAACGTTGGACGTTGGATGGAGAAAGCAGTCTTCATTCGGGATCGCATGGCCCCGCCAAACGGAAGATTCCCTACAAACAGGAACAGTGCCACCACATGGTTCATCAAACGCTGATAGTAACTGATCGAACGATCTAAATCAGCCAATTTGCTCCGTTGTCATCGATGTCGAGGCTCTTGAAGAGCCGCCGTGCTTGAAAGACGTTGTCCACATCCTGTGGAGGATCCATCGGTCATCGAGCCCTGCTCGTTGCTGATCGTTGCATCGACCCGGCCCAAAACCCGCAGAAACGCTGTGCAGTGTCTCCTCATACGTATGATCAGCATATAGAATTGCTGTTAAAATATGCTAGTTAAACCTACTTTATATATATATATTACAGTAATTCTATTATTGTCATCCCCCTCCAAGGGGTTAGCAATCTTCAGAGTTGAGTCGATCTTCCAAACGCCCCAACTGCTGGAACTGCTTAAGGAGGACTGGTGCCGTTGGATACATTCACATTTGCCTCAAACATGGGTATAAAAAATGGAGAAAGGCGACATACATTGATTGTTGTGTTTTCTTGTCAACTCCTCCATGTGTTCTCGAGTTTGCGAACCATCCCAGTTGTTTTAGTCTGGCAAAATCTATGAAATTGTTGAAAACATCCAAGCTGTCTTGGACAACATCCAAGTTTTAGTCTTGGACATTCTATGAATTTCAATATATATTATATATAATATATATATAATATAGTACGACCATGCTGCCATCCTGGTCTTTCTGTTCCATCCTGTGCTGCGCGACCCCATCAGGCCATCACCACCCGTCCTTCACCGATTGGGACCGCTCCATCGCTGCACTGACGAAGTTCCCGGTGATGATGTTCATCACCTCGCACGGAAAAGGCAGATCAAACGGTGGATCAAAGGCCGTGTCTTCGGTGTCTCCTTCCTGTTCGTCAGGTCAGGTGTCTTGGGTGTCTTATTGGGTGTCTTAGGTGAAAAGAGATGCCTGCAAATGTCTGCTATCTCCTAGGTCATCAGTGCTTTGCTGCTATATGGTATGTCATGATAGTTCTGTGGAGGACTCTCGTCTCCCGGTTCCTGGGTGCAAAACGTCTGAGCATGTCTTCAAAGGCCCCTTTTGTCCATGCTTCTTTACCCAGTCTATCAACGAAACAGGCAAAACCGGTCTGCGATCTGCATAACAGAGAGAGGTAAATCCAGCGGCAACTGGACAAAAGAAAGAGGGAGGGAGGGCAGGGAGAGAGAGAGAGAGTGAGTGTCATGGATGTTGTTTCGGCGTATGGGGTTCCAAGAAGCGTGGCTCATGGAGTGACCTGAGACATGTTGCACGGGTGGTTCCAAGGCCAATGATTGAAACTCCTTGGCCACGTTTCCTTCAATCCACCTTTCCAGAAGATTGACTCAACGCACCTCTTGTGGAATGCGGCCAAATCCGCCAAGACACGCCCAGCATGAGGAAGGCGATCCAAATCACCGTGGCTAAGCCCCAGCCCCAATTCATGTATTCACTCCTGAGTCTTCGAAGTCGAGTCGCCGAAGGCGGTCCGAACGGTCCAAACGGTACCGGAAGCCATCAATTCCAGTGACAGGACGGTCAAGGACTGGGAAATGCATCAAGGGTGGCCGTCTATGAGGCTGACCTATTCCAAGAACCATAACAATAGTCACTAGCCGTGACCCCTAAGACCTAAGTGAAACTCCTGCGCTACAGCGAGCATCTTTCAATCGTTCTTGAAAACTTCAGGTGGCAAAAGCAGTGTGCCTCGCAACTCCCAGGACTTCGTTGGCATGCATCAAAGAACTACCCCTAATCAAAGAAAAGAACCATCTTCTGCAACATCCATGCCCAATGGGGCACCCGTGTTTTTTTCCTTTTTTTCCTTTTTTTCACCACCTCCTTGTCTCCCTCCCAAACCCTTCACCCTCCCGAATTCCCAACCACGCCCCCAACCAAACGCTTTAAAAAAGACAACACCAAACGCTCTCTGTTCGTCTACACCTCCAAGGAGCAAGGGCTCCACCAGGTCCCGCCAGTCGATGCCGCCCGTTAAGGCTTGGAAGAGTGACAAGATGGATCGTCCCACCTCGGCCGAGTCCCACCGCGATCCGGGTGGACGGCGCCGGTGGTGCCAAAGGCGCGGTACGGAGAAATGCCACGGAACGCGGTACGGGCCGGAAGGGCCCAAACAGGGGGAGAAGAACAACGACCTTGTTCTTTCGACAACCGGTGAAGTTGACTTTTTCGCACAACAACCGTGCGGAGAGTGATGGTCCAATGGTCCAGTGAATGGTCTTGATATTTCACACGGGTGACATGGAACCCAAATCAACAGTTTTCCCCTGGGCTTCCCTGACAGTTCCAAAGTATTCGGCAAGCACTTCATCTCCTGCTGCATTCTTGCCTGGCGCCAACTTTTAAGACAAAGGCTACCAGCGGCTACCATTGCTAGTAGGCCATCACTTGTAGGTTGGAGGCCATTGCTATTAGGTTGGACAAACCAACAAGAAATCACCTGAGTCTCAACTCTCTCGCCGCACGGCTCGACGCGTCCCGGCGAAGTTTCGCACTCGCTTCTTCCTCACCTGTCTCAAGTCTGTGCAGATGAACGGATTGGGTCAGGTAGAGCCCATAGATGTAGACCAGCAGGAACACAAACATCACCGACCTCGGCATGATACAATATGACTCGTATAAGGAAATGAATTCATATACTATGAGTAGTATTCTCTTGGAAAGAAAGGTCAAATGCTGGCCAGCTGCCAAATGAAGGACTTTGCAGAGTACACGATGCAAGCAACCAATCTCCCAGAATGCATGCGACCGAGACATTTCAGCAAAGAGGCCTCCGCCCAAAACGACAGCTAGAAAGCATGCGAACAAAATGTGCTGCGTTGATGTGTTCACGTATTCTCTTCTCAAGTTAGGACATCCACAGTGCGACAGTTGTATCAATCCCAGCAGTGTGTTTCAAAACATGGGGAAAGCCTCACATACATGGACCATAGTCATGTCCAGGATTGCTCCAAAGGTAAAGCCCACTGTGGTTCTTTGGTCTTCGAATTCGAAACATCGAGGTCCCAGAAAAGATAGAGCCAACTTTGGTATTTGGTCCAGGGAAATTGAGCTGTCGACGCACTCCGTCCATATCAAAACACGAGCCAGCGCCCCCCACCCCCCGCTCCGCAGGTCATCGAAGAAGCGCGTGAGCCGTAGGACCCGAAGCAGGCGGATGCAGCGAAGCCTCAAGGTGGCCGGGGGGCTCGGTGGTTGGATGGTCCCGGTGTTGGGTAAGGTTGGGTGGAAAGGAACCACTGGCTGATTCATGGAAACATCGACACAAACACCTTGGACGCTGTGGACGCTGTCCAGAAATTCAACAAGCGGCGAGTAATTGGCTGTAATTACATGTAATTACTAAAGATCTCCCCAGCTTGGCTATGCACCGGCTCAAGGAGTCCATTGCCACATCCCATTTCAAGTTCAAAGCCATCCTCATCCAGCTCTGCCAAGTGGCGTCCGAACAATCCGCAGAACACCAAAGTCCATTCCTTAGCCATGCAGGGCTGCAGTACGTGAACCGTAGGCTTTTCAGGGGTCGAAACTCTTTCTCCATTCGACCAACTAGTGCGGGGGCCAATGTTGAATCTACTTTCACAACAAAACCACAACAGCCATCTTGGGGCCCATATGCTCTTCATGTCACACAACTAATATACCGTAACCCCCAAAACAGATTCAACTACCACATCCTACTGCGGATGTAGATAAATCCGCCATTGCAAGACTCCTCCATAGTGTCCGTTCGAGGCCAAGATCAGAATCTCCTCCAAGAGCTGGGCGAGGACCAAAAAGAAATCTAAGACCTCGGAGCTCAGCGGTTTTTCCACGGGAGCACCACGAGGCTCCATGGCCTCTGTAAACATGAATTCAGTGATGTGGGGTGTCCATACAGGCCCCTTTCGTGTTACCTTTATGCAAGAACAGAAACATGTTTGTTCAAGAGTTTTCCTGACACTTTGAACATTTATAACATGTGTATATAAACAAATAGCCTCTGAGCTCTCAGCATTCCATCCCCAACCTAACCTGGGCACGAAAACACAAAAAGGCTCTGCAGTGTAGCCTTCCAATGAAACTCTTGTGCTCTTGTTTCATCCCTCTCATTGGCAACAGGCAGTCTTGAAGGCACAGCTGTGCAATGGCATAGCCTTTTTCTCCATGCCTATTTGCTGTTGACTTGGCATGAGTCTCTGTTGCTGCTAAACTTTATAAACTGGCTTGTGGAAACCCAACAGCTCAAAAATGCCAAACAGTTTGATGGAACTGGATGTGAAAGGTTCTTCATTGGGACGGAGAATCAGATCATCAGATCTCCTTCCAAGTCGATCCTTCCAACCGAGGGTGGAACATGTAGAAGAACTTGAAGCCATGGGCCGTGAGTCTCAGTCCAACCTCGCAGGGGTCAAGTGCTCTTGGGCAAATGGGTTCAACTGGATGGTGCTCTTGCCGCAACACCTGATGTTTCATGTTTCTTCCCATCACGACCTCCTACAGTCTTTCTGCAGTGTTGCTGCCCAAGATGGACGTTAGCGGCATTTGGAAATGCTGAGTCCAAAGGCTCCCCAAAATTGCCTGCCTCTGTGGCAAAAAAGATGCAAATAAGAATGTCCATTGCTCCTGAGCACTCAATAGTTGCAAAATGTTCCGAGTAAGCCGTGTCGAACCAAACATGTCTTGTTTGCTGGCTGGCAGCCTGACAGAATCTGGACACTTGTCAGTGTGTACGTCTGGTCACATACACTACCGAAAAACTAACATGACCCTGAGAATTGTACCCTGAAAGGCCGTTTTCGTCTACAATTTAGTAGTTTGCAGATGTTGTAGTTTGCAGATGTGTTCAGGGTCCATGTTAGTCTTCAGTTGGGTACATACAAATGATCAACCGAAAGCTGCACTACATTTTCAGATCTTAACGGTCGATCGTGGGAGAATGCTCTCACAAGGGGGGGGGTCATTTATCCCCCCCATTTGGGGTCATTTATCACCCCTTTCAATGTCCGAGAGCTATGTCCGAGACCTCTATGTCCGACGCCTCATATACATCCACGCATGTCCGACATCTCTCTGACTGTCCGCGACCTCTATGTCCGAGACCTCTGGGTCCGAGATCTCTGCGTCCGAGACCTCTATGTCCGAGACCTCTATGTCCGAGACCTCTGTGTCCAAGATACATCCACGCATGTCCGACATCTCTCTGACTGTCCGCGGCCTCTATGTCGGAGACCTCTGGGTCCGAGATCTCTGCGTCCGAGACCTCTATGTCCAAGACCTCTATGTCCGAGACCTCTGTGTCCGAGACCTCCATGTGCAAGACCTCTATGTCCGAGACCTCTGGGTCCGAGATCTCTGCGTCTGAGACCTCTATATGTCCGAGACCTCTATGTCCGACGAGACCTCTGTGTCCGAGACCTCCATGTCCAAGACCTCTATGTCCGAGACCTCGATGTCCGAGACCTCTGTGTCTGAGACCTCTATGTCTGTGTCGGAGACCTCTATATGTCCGAGACCACTATATGTCCGAGACCTCTACGTCCGAGACCTCCTATAGAGACA